ATTTTTAAAAGTAGGACCACAGAATAATGAGGCATTCCAATTTTGAGAGGATCTCAGAGTGAGGCAAGAAGGTGCACAAATAGTCTAATCATTCTCTTCAGAAACTAGGTATTTCCTAATGACAACACACAAAATAGAAAGATGACTAACCTTTTTTTTTTCCTTTAGCCAAAACCTTATTGTTCTCTATTGAAAACCTTCAAATATTCCATTAACTGCAAGTCATAACCCATAGTGATCAATGCATTTCCCTCCACCCTAGAGACTTCAATCGCAGGATTCCGACAAGTAACAAAGAGCCAGGATCAGAAAGTAAAATGAAGCGTTGTTTATGTGTCTTACCTTGTTTAAATGTTAAAGAAAAAAATAAAAATAAATGAGAAATGGGGGGAAAATGGGTTCATTATAAATACAAAGGATGAAGTACATTTCATCTTTGCTTTCCTCATTATTTGATTCTGCTCCATGTATTAATGGAAAAGTATACCATGTGGTTTAAAGATGCAATGTAGTTAAATTCTTTAAAAGTTTACCATTTAAAATAAACTGCTCTACAAATATCATAAAATGTAATCAATAGATTAAATACATCAGAACATAATTTCAGGAATAATGACCCCCTTTATACTACCCATGCCTGCCTTTTTCTTTCATAAGACCCAACTGGCAGTCCGACACTGCTCCCTCCCTTCTCAGAACCTGCTCTCTCTCAGAGGCCTGGGGCAGCCCTGAAAAACAAAAGCAGAGGGGAAGCTGGTCTGTTGGTGCAAGTGGTCCTGGCGGTGCACTGGTGGAGAGAATGGGAAGGAGGAGGTCACAAGCAGCTGGCAGAACAAGCAGGAAATAACCTCAAAGGAGAAAACTCCTGACAAGAAAAGGAAGAAGAGCAGCAGGTTCCAGAAACGGTGGAGGGATGAAGACCAGGGGGACGGTGGGTGCCATTATATTATTTGTCCTTAATTTTTTAAAAAGATTTATTATCTATGCATACAGAACGGGGTACAGACCAAAGGTGCAGGGGCGGTGAGAGGACTCACCAGAGACAGTGGGGAGCAGAACAGGCAGATCCATGAAGTACACTGCTGAGGGGAGCAGCACGCTGGGTCAGAACAGTCTGCCACTTCATGTGGGTCACCTCTGGGAGGGGGGATGGAATTGGCACTGAAGCAGCTGCAGCTAGCTTGCAGTACTGCTTCCTAACCCATTGTGCCAGCAGGGAGGGTCTGTCCCTAATTTTTTATGAGCCATATCTCATAGGCATATATCACAAGGAAATTGGAGATGATGGTCCAAAGTTCATAGGACAGATCGTAGAAATCTGTAGAAAGACTAAGGACAACAAATGAAATTTTTCCTGAAGTTAGTAGTGTGGCCTCTGCTCTACAAGCTTGTATATTCTACAAGCTAGTTATTCTGTAAGCCTTTTGGTGCTTTCACTTAGTCGTTACTATTTGATTACGGTTTTGTCTTTCTGGCCGCATAGCAATTTCCATTAGCATTAGGGAAAATACTCTTCTCATAATATTTTCAAATAATAAAGTACTACAAAAAGCAGAAAAAATAGACATTCGTATTTATATAGTTCTTTAATGTCTAATTTGCAAACCATTTTTATATAAAATAAACACTTTAGCCAAAATATCTAGAAAGCAAACAGTAGATATTTTATTCCTTTGGAGAATGATATCATCAAAATGCAGAGATTTGTTGGCTAGCTTCAAGTACTTTAAATTAAAGTGAAGATATCTCCTAATATATTTTATAAAAGTGGACTAGTCTAATCTGATGCACTATCTAAAATAAGATAGTTATCCATATTCATTTGCATTTTTAAGTCTATTTTTATGTGTATGTGTTTTAAGTTTCAAGCACTGTGCTAAGCGAGTGGGTTTAAAAATAAAATAGTAGGTTTTGCCCGGAAGTACACATACCCACACCCACTTCACACACTTACAAATGTATATACAATTAACTGCTTAACTGTGATATGGTAGACATCAACATAAACAAACTACTTTGACAATAACAACAAAACAGTGATTAACTTCAAATGAGTTTTTGTAAGACCTTATAAAAAGGCAACATATTATATAGGAACTTACAGGATGAGATGGATTTCATGAGGGAGTGAAGAGGTTGGAAAGAAAACTGCTAGTCAGGAAGGAGAGGAAGGTGAGAATGTAAAGGAAACCCCAGAGATTCATAAAAGCTTGGAGTGTGGGGGTGAAGCAAGAAACAAAAGAAACCAGTAAAAGTGAGAAAGAAATGAGTCGTGAAGAGTGGTGGGAGGAGTCTAGGTTTGTATTTTTGATAGGACACTAATTTTACTATGACTATACAAATTAAAACACCCAAAAGATTAAAAAACACCAAAAGACAAAAAAATACCTTCTCTTTCAAAGGCTAGCAAAATATATGACAGCTTCTGCAATGAGAAGAAGAAACACTTTTGTCAAATTAACATGGGACATTTAAATGTGTATTCTGTTTTATGGCATTGTTTTACATTACATTTCATGTATTATTGCATTTGTTTTATATCTCTGCTTTTTACTACCTTGGGGATAAACATTTATATGAAGAGCATCATTTCTCTTAACACGCTAGTATAAACAGTCGACTTTTAATACCACTCTAAAGAGTCATTTTCATAACCTCTCTTTTGGGAACTACATTTTAAAAGCCACAAAAGTTTAGGGGAAACAGAAGCAAAGATAAGTATAGAAAAGCAAATATTAGTGAGAAATTGGTGATGAGTATCAAGCACATTCTACTAGCAACATTTAAGTACTATCAGACCACATTTCTTTATGATCAGCTTTCAACTATTAATGTAAAAATGGAGAATGTTTTTTTAATATTTTCTAAGGTAGCTAAATTCTTAATAAATTTAGTATTTAATATCAAATGTCTCAAAAATAATATAAGATGCTATCTATACAGCATTAATCAAAACGTGACTTTCTTAATAGCAACCCACAGTCAAGCAGTTTTCTATATCTAATTGCTGAAGCATATATATTGTTCAATACTGGATCAAAGAAAATGTTGATTCTTGTTATTTTGATTCTGGTGAGGGTTTTACAGAGGTGTACAATGTGTCAAATCCTATCAAGTTGTACATTTAAGGCAACCTCAGTTTGGTTTGTCAGTTCTACTTCTATAAAGCTGCTTCTACACACCTGCTTTTGTGTGTCTGCAATATGTTTTTATTACTTTATTTTTTAATCTGGAAGAAGTGATATCAACATTTTAACAGAGAATAGAGAAAGAATAAGGAATTTTTAAAATTTTCTTGTGTTTATTTGTCCTCCTTTTCTCAATACCCTACAGCAATAAAATATATCCTTTTTATACAAAATAAATTTAATTTTTTAAAAGGTGTCCTTTTTAGTAGTAAAATCCAAATTATGTCAAGTTCATCTGGCCAACAAACATATGAAAACATGTGCATCATCACTTAGCATCAGGAAAAGGGAATCAAACTGACAGTAAGTAACTACCTCACACCACTAAAAATGGCCTGTATCAGAATCACCATGAACAATAACTGTTGGTGAGGATTTGGAGCAAAAAGAACCATGTACATGATTGGTAGGAATATATACTGGTCCAGCTCTTCAGAAAGACAGCATGGAGATTTGTCAAAATATTAAAAATGTATCACTCAGCAATTCCACTCCCAGGTAGCTACCCAAACCATACAAAAACTCTAATGCAAAGAGAAATTGCACTCCCATATGCTTTGCAGCACTATTTACAATAGCCAAGTTATAGGAGCAACCTAAGTGCCTAAGGACAGAGTGGAAAAAGAAGACGTGGTGGATATGCACAATGTAATGCTACAATACAGGAGGGAAGGGGGAAGAAGAGCGGTAAAAGGGGTCAATTGTATGGTGAAGGATAGAATTGTATTTTTTTTTTTTAAGATTTATGTATGCATATAGAACTGGGGTATAGGCCAGAGGTGTAGGGGTGGTGAGAGGATTCACCAGAGATAAAGTGAGGAGCAGAACAGGTGGATGAGTACACTACTGAGGGGGAGCAGTGGGCAGGTCAGGAGAGTTCTGCCGTGCCATGTGGGTCACCTCCGGGGTGGGGATCGAACTCATGCTGAAGTGGCTTTAGCTTCTTAGTGCTGTGCTTTAACCCGTTGCACAACTAGGTAGGGCTCAGAGGTGTACTTTTTAATGGTGAACTTCATGCAGCATATATAGATGTTGAATGTTATAATGAGGCACAATTGAAACACAACACAATGTAATTTCAACAAAAATTATTAAAAATTAAAAATATGTACCTGCATTAACCAAAGGCAGGAAGGTAACCTCAGTTTTAGATGTTAGTACCTAGCAGTCTAAACATCCAAGTTTAGATTCTTCCTGTTTCTACAGCTCTTCTTTATAATGTGTTAACTATTATATTTAAATGTCTCATGAAGGAAATCAGGTTCTTGTTTTAGGCTTTTGAAATTTTAACTAAACTGGCAATTATTTACTTAAACTTGATAAAATAGCCAGAATGTTAATTTATAAAAAAAAAAAAAAAAAGTCAGTCGCTGACTGTGGATCTTTACTTCACCAAATGAATTGGTGGTGACTTCTAATATTCCTCATGTCGCTCCCTTGCCTTCCCCTCTTCCCTTGGCCCTTGGACAGAAAGAAGCCGAGAGGGAAGCTAAGCAAGGCTGGCTTAGTCCTCTTTTGGCAAGTGACACTAATTTCCTGACAGCTATTTCCATTAAGGTGAAATAATAATCAGGAGTGCCCAAGCGTAGAAATCTGGCATTGACGATGAAAGCACAGTTGCGATGAATAGAGCTGTGTGACCATCAAGGTTGGTCGGAAGCACGGGGTGCGCATGCCCTGGGCCGCCCTGAGATGGAAGCTGGTGACGTGAAAAGGATTATGACACAGTCGCGGGTCACTCCCCCAGCGCCCCACTGCGCACTGGAAGAGCAGGCCTGACCTCAGTTTCCCCACTTCTAAAGAGGAGAAGCCATGCTGTCCTGTTTCCTGTTCCTCTCCAAGTACATAGGCACTTCGTTAGTGTCCCTGCGCAGATCATGCCCAGGCTTTGTGCTTCCGCTGCGCTGTGCCCCAGGGCGACCCTTGGACCCCCGGCCCACTACCCCTAGCCGCCTGCTGACTGCCTCCACGTTGTCTGGAGACCCGACGCAACCGTGCTTGGCATCCTCCCGGGTGCGCCAGAACTTCCACGCAGACTCGGAGGCCGCCATCAACCGCCAGATCAACCTCGAGCTCCACGCATCCTATGTGTACTTGTCCATGGCTTATTATTTCTCCCGAGATGACGTGGCCTTGAACAACTTCGCTCAGTACTTCCTTCGCCAGTCACGAGAGGAGATCCAGCACGCAGAAAAGCTGATGAAGCTGCAAAACCAGCGGGGAGGGCAGATCTGCCTGCAGGACATCAAGAAACCGGTCCAAGACAACTGGGAAAGTGGACTGAATGCCATGCAGTGTGCGCTGCTTTTGGAAAAGAATGTGAACCAGTCCTTGCTGGAACTGCACACTCTGGCCTCAGACAGAGGTGATCCCCATTTGTGCGACTTCCTGGAAACCCACTATTTGAATGAGCAGGTGAAGTCTATCAAAGAATTAGGTGATTATGTGCAAAACTTGGTTAAGATGGGGGCCCCTAATTCTAGTCTCGCAGAGTACCTTTTTGACAAGCATACCCTTGGAAATGAAAGCAAGCAGAACTAAGCCACAGGCACCCTTCCCTACCACCAAGGGGTGCCAGGACCCAGCCTCAGCTCTCCTGCTTTCTCGACTTTCAAATGTACCTCGACCTTCAATGTTTCTTGGTTACACTGTTCTTGCAATAAAGAGATGTGTAGAGAAAATAAATTTATCCTCATGCTAACAAGGGCTTTTTGTACAGTATCAAAATAAAATCCCTAACCCGAAAGGTCACCCAGGATACTATGGGGTTAAAGAAAAAGAAAAAGGGGGGTGGGGGGAGTGTGGAGTTGCAAAGAAGGTACTGAAAATAGAATGTAACTTTCTTCTGTTATTAAATATTATTCCAGACCATGAATCTTCACTAAAAGTCCTTGATTTTCAACTTAACAAGTGCTAGTTATTTTCAAGACCTTAAGCTGAAGGCTAATGTAGACAAAATGTATAAGGCAAATAACAACAAAATGGGAGGATATATATA